CCTACCCTAAAATGATGGAAGTTTACAACACATGTTATGATCGACCACCTTAATTTTAACGTTCCAAAAACGTTCGGTGGAAAAGTTATCTACTATATTTGTTCATTCATTTAACTATGTTCACAACATTATAAGAATATTTCTGAACTAGGAAATTAGCGAAATTCGTAAATAGAAAAATTCTTTAAAGTTGAAGAAAAATTACTTTATACAATCAAGGATGAGGGTTAAAATATGGCCAAGTCAATAAACCGCGGAAAAACGCAAGATAGAAAGTGTTACCTTACTTGAATTAACTGAGGGTGATATTCAACTAGTTACCCAAAGTTTAATATGTTCTCTCTGAAAATAGCAAATTAATATCAAATATTAAAAACACTTTTTAAGCCCAGATAATGCATGTGTTTGAAGTTTTGAACGTTATACACAAACACGTAATGAAAACCGACATAGTATTTATTCGTTTACTCCCCGAGATTGAAAAATAATGGTTTGCATTTAAAAGAATCACATAATTTGATGAATCACTTTAAAAAGAAGAAATGTGTCACAAACAGGGAGCGCCATTTTATTCTTCCCTTTACACGCCTAATCTTCAGCTGATCCCGGCTTTAATATCACAAATACTCTGTTTTAACTATCAAAACTTAAACAAACCAATGCAAAAACATTGCAAATTTCTTATTTTAGCGTTTAAAAATATAAATATATGCGGATCAAACTAAAATTAGCGGATTTTGTCAGAGTACAACTTCTGTAATCCTATTGCAAATCCGGAACTGACTGGACTCCCTTACTGTATAAACCGGTTACGAAGCCTGAAAGCGAAGACTAGAAACCCGGCAGGTCAATAATCTTGTTAAAAATTAAGCCTGTAAAAAGAAGTTAAATGTAAATTTCCACAAGCCAAATACTTTTAAATTTTTGCTAGTCTAAAGTAAATTCTACGAAAGTTTGAAAAAATTACCGAAATATGGAGATTTTTCTACCCTCTGAAAAAGAAAGTTGCTACTTGAAGACGACAAATAGTATTCAACTGATGGGTGACATATCGATAGGGCTAATGATTGATGACTAATCGATTGATTTAACTAAGGACTATTAAGTCCTTATTTGAACAAATATTCGTTCAATTGAACTAAAACCCACGAGGAGACATTCCAACCACTTGGAGAATTGTTTTTTTATTTTAATCCCGTCTAGAATTACAGGGATCATTTTTTATATGTTTAATTTAATCAAAATTATCCAAATACATGAAGTGTATATAACTCATATAACTATAACAAACATATGTCCTTATTCTTAGGAGTATATACAAAAACTGGTACAGCATGTGTAAATTTAGGAAGGAGGTTTCTACCTGCCTGCATATCTATATATATATTATCGTTGACTATAACCTATTCCTATCATTCCATTTAGTTCCATTATTAAGATCGATGATAGATTAAATTTAATAAATCCTATTAATTGTTTTCACGCTTGATTTAAATCTTCAAAATTATGTTTTACAAATCACATCCATGACATTAAAATTCATTCTATAACTGTCAGTAAACATGTTTAAAATAAAATTTTATCGGCTTTTAATTTTTTTTATCTATTTAATTTTAATTTTAAGATGAAAATATGTTTTATTAATAATAATAAATATCATAACCTCACTTCTGTTTTCAATCCTAAAAACTTATGCTTCAGAACAGGGGAGTAGTCAGAAAGTTACCCGGGGGTTTTTAAAATCATAAAAAAAGAATCATAATCCTTATACCTTTCACTCGTGGATTTGAATATCCCAACTGCAATGTGTCAAATACAAAAATCAGTATTTTTCACTATTTTCTTATGGGTTTAAAAGTAAAATATCGCCCCAGCTGAGTACACCTTTCAATATTTGCGAATTTTTTGCTATGAAGTTCCCGCATTCTTTTGAATGATCATCTTACAGCATTAATATTTGGGATTTTCTTTAATATGTTTAAATTTTATATTACATGTTATATACAGGGTGTCCCACGAAACATTACAGTTGGTGAATAGTTTAGAATGTCTTTTTCCATTATTTGCTCAGTTGTTTGATACCAAAGAGCAATAAATAAAATATGGGAGTTATGTTCTATTAAAATTGATTTCAAAGTAAAATAAAATCAAGCAAAAGATTTGTTTAACTAAAAATAACTGCTTATTAAATGTCATGTTTCGTGGGACACCCTGTAGATGACGTGCCATATTTGTGTATTTATTTATTTTAATAGTGTTAACATTTAAATTCATATTTCTTTATATTTCTTAATATTTTCCAGGGCATATAATTATCTAAAACCCTACTGGTTGAAGTGGGCTCGTAAAGTTTTTTCGCCAAAACATTTTTTTTCTCAATTGGGTTCTCGAAAAAGAAAAATTTATGGCTCAAATACTTTATACCCCGCCTCCCTTCAACCAGTATAGGGTTATAAATAGTTATTAAACTTTCACGCTTTATTTATAACTCTAATATGTTGAATCTATTCAGATATACAGCACAATATCGTAATTATTTCTACCTTTTACTTCTTGTACACAATATGCTATTTAAGCAACATATGGAATCTTTTTCCAATCGTTTTAATGCGTATTTACTGCGTTTTATTAGAATCTTAGAAATATGTTTTACACCCTAACATTATGTTTTTTAGCCATTAAAAACATCAATAGCCTAATCACTTATTTGTAAATTCAAAATAAATTGCGGTATTGTGAAGGAAAGAGAAGGAGAGACAAAGAAGAAAATCGACAGAATTTATACAAGGGCGTATACAGGGAGGAGGCAAGGGGGTAGTGCCTCCCCCTAGACCTGTGAAGGTGGGGGTGTGTTTTAACTATCAAAACTTAAACAAACCAATGCAAAAACATTGCAAATTTCTTATTTTAGCGTTTAAAAATATAAATATATGCGGATCAAACTAAAATTAGCGGATTTTGTCAGAGTACAACTTCTGTAATCCTTCACGCCCTCCCATTATTAAGAACTAATATTTATATATAAAAGAGTTAAAGGAGATATACATGCATTCATTTTACCTAATCTACTTAAATGTATAAGCATGGTTTGTCTATCTATCTATCTATCAATAATCTATGGCATAGGCAGGTAGGCAAAGGCACTAAGGTAGGTAAGGTAAGTCCAACTATGTTCAGGGGAAAATATTCTTTCAAATTGAAAAAAAAAATAATCACTGTATTAAAAAAACATGGAAACTCACAATTCTATTTTTTTCGAAAAATATTTTGGGCGGGTTTTCACTGTTTAAACAGGTAAATTTATATAGACCAGTGGTTACACCTACAGCTTGTGTGGGTCTCTTTACAATTCAAAATATACAACGCTTAAATTTGTATTTCGTTTAATTTTTAAATTCTTTTGTCGGTTGCATTTACATACTGTCCCTCTTAACATGTAAATCTAAAGACGACCGTTACGATTTATATTTAGATTACTATGCTATTGTTAAAACAAAAAGTTTTTAATGTCTTTCAAAACAGTAAAATTGTTATATAAAAAAAATTATTAAGGATTTGCATTAAAGCTTTCACGTAAACTGTTATTCAATATTATACATATACTTGGTCACGTCAAACTAACATATATCTATATAGAAGTTCATCCTGTTTGTATCGGAATATATTTAGAAATATTTTGATCTCTCATTCAAAATCTGTAAAAAAAAAATTGCACAAACCGACCCCCTACTATATTTAAATCTTAAAATACATAGCCCAACAAAAAATTATTAGATAGCACATAAAAAAATCTACATTTAACGGGCAAAAAAAAGATTCTAAAGTTGAGACTCACTAACCAGGACCTTTAACTTACCGTGCAGTTTCTTTAAACTCTCTGATTTATAAATTTTTTGGAAGATTTAGTAGAATCCCATATTGCACAGTGGCTTTGCAATTTGTAGATAAAAAGAAATGATTTTAAAATGTTTTTTTAATGTTCCGAACTTAGAGATTTGTTCATAAACATCCAATTTTGTAATCGGAATTTCAAAACTGAATTTGAATACAAACTCTGGCAAAACGGCAAAATTCTTGAAAAAAATTGGAACCATGTTTTCAGATGTTCAGTTAAAAAATGTTTAAATATTTATTCTGTGTTTTGTTTGTCTATACAGGATACCTCATTTTTCCAGGTATGTTATTAATTATTAACATTATTATTATTATTATTATTATCATTATTATTATTATTAGTAGTAGTAGTAGTAGTAGTAGTAGTAGTAGTAGTAGTAGTAGTATTAGTATTGTTATTATCTAGGGTCCAGTATAAAGTGCTGGGTATGTAGATCGGATGGGGATCCAAAGTGCGCTGATCCATTCGATAATACTTCATTTCCTATAACAGATTGCAGGTATACAATAATTTTAAGAAGATAGAACAATTTTTCTGTTTGGAGGATTTATTTCGGCCCAGGGGTTCATTATACAGTCGTCAGGGAATAAATCAAGGGAATGAAAACGTCGGGGTTTATATCAAGGGAATAAAACGTCGGGTTATATATCAAGGGAATGAAAACGTCCAGGTATATATCAAGGGAATGAAAACGTCGGTGCATATATCAAGGGAATGAAAACGTCGGGCTATATATCAAGGGAATGAAAACGTCGGGGTTTATTTCAAAATTATGAAAACGTCCGAGCATATATCAAGTGAATGAAAACGTCGGGGTATATATCAAGGGAATAAAAACGTCGGGGTATATAACAAAGTAATGCAAACGTCGGGGTATATATCAAGGTAATGAAAACGTCGGGGTATATATCATGGGAATGAAATCGTCGGGGTATATATCAAGGGAATGAAAACGTCGGGGTATATATCAAGGGAATGAACTAACGTCGGGGTATATATCAAGGGAATGAAAACTTCGGGGTATATATCAAGGTAATGAAAACTTCAGGTTATATTTCAAGGGAATGAAAACGTCGGGTATATATCAAGGGAATGAAAACGTCGGGGTATATATCAAGGGAATGAAAACGTCGGGTCATATATCACGGGAATTTTAATCAAATTTTCTGTTTCAATTTCTACCAAGCTTTCCAACAGCATGGATACACATAAACATGAAATCAAAGAAAAGCTGTCAATTAACAGCATACTTTTGTTTACTTGTAATTTAAAAACTTCCGAACTTAAATAGAAAATTCGTCTTTATTGTATCGTTATAAAAGCCGACTACTGTAGATATTATAAATTAAATATAAATGAATCATATATTTAGACATGAAAAAGAACGTGATCACCTCCCCGGCCTTGTTGCCACAATGTGTAGGAAAGTCAGACAAAAAGGTAAAATAATACTCTCCTAAAAAGTAACTGATTCCTCGCTACAAACTCTAACTTTCTAACTCTTGTAAATTTAAACCCTGGTGTTGGTTTGAACATTTGCAATCATATAGGAATAGAAAATTAAAGAAGGAGGAGAGTAAAAAGTTCCTATGAAATAGTATGAAAAAATAAAGTAAAAGATATTCTTAATGGAGATATATATTCACTAGTTTATATATTTAGTGAATGGAGAATGGAGATATATATTCACTATTTATATATTTATTGAATGGAGAATGGATATATATATTTACTAGTTTATATATATTTAGTGAATGGAGAATGGAGATATATATTCACTAGTTTATATATTTAGTGAATGGAGAATGGCGATATATATTCACTAGTTTATATATATTTAGCGACTGGAGAATGGAGATATATATTCACTAGTTTATATATTTAGTGAATGGAGAATGGAGATATATATTCACTAGTCTATATATTTAGTGAATGGAGAATGGAGATATATATATTCACTAGTTTATATATTTAGTGAATGGAGAATGGAGATATATATTCAATATTTATATATTTAGTGAATGGAGAATGGAGATATATATTCACTAGTTTATATATTTTGTGAATGGAGAATGGAGATATATATTCACTAGTTTATATATTTAGTAAATAGAGAATGGAGATATATATTCACTATTTATATATTTAGTGAATGGAGAATGGATATATATATTCACTAGTTTATATATATTAAGTGAATGGAGAATGGAGATATATAAGATCCTGTGCCTGGTTGGGGGAACCAGGGGTCGGGAATGATGAAAGGTAAAAAGAAGGATCACAATTTGACCTACATTAAACATATTTTTGTCGCCTGTACTATTTTATACTTTTTTGTTGACATCTGCCTTGTAAACAGTAAAAAGTATTAAAAGACAGCTCCGTAAATTATTAAGATTATTAAATTATAAACCATTAACCAACATGATGTGCTGAACTCAAATAGTAGAAACCGAATGTATCTCGCCTTGGTTAGCCCAGGGTGGAGATAGGGGGATGAATAATGCCAAATAAGAAGGATCGAGGGGGGTCTTTAAAGTCTTAATAATGACATTAAAACACATTTTTAGTAAACTTTTTGCTTCAGCAACAAATCGTGTAAAGTTTAGATTTTGTACATGGTTCACAATGTCAAGAATTATGAAGAAACGAATAAAAAATTATTTGAAAAAGGGAAATTTTAAATTTTAATCAATTGACTAAATGTTTTATTCTTTGTAATGTTTAAATTTTGTATTTTCTGTAATATCACATATTTAACATATTGTATCTTTAATATTCTTTTATTGTATTCTATTGTAAGTATTTGATGATATTAAATTTTGCATCTTTAGATATTGTATTCATCGATCGGGAACTTACAATATTCATGTGGAATATTGTACTTGTAGGAAAAAGGTACAAATAATTTAAAATAACAATTTGTGTAAAACAACGAAAGTTACATTTTTAATATATCATATAAACTATTTTTGATTTCAATACAATTATAACCTTCTCAAAATAAATTCTGTGATAAATCCATATCATGTCAAATTTCCTGAAAAACATTTCAACCCTTGCTGTCCTTTCATCCTATTATCCTATTCCACATATGTGTAAGCAGGAAATCCGAAAACTGGGATTAGTTTATTCCGTCTGTTAAACCTTTTTTAAATAAAATTTTAAATCAGTGTTGCCATACATATATACATGTACTCTATTATCATCGTTACAACATTTTATACAAATATAACTAACATTCAAATTACATCCTATTTTGCATATATTGGAACCAACCATATGACACATCTTTAATTGAAATAAAGATGATAAAATAAAATTCAATATTCAATAAATGAAATTAAGTTAAAATAATAATAATTTCTTAGATATTTTGAATATTGTAGGACGGATGTAACCCAGCCACTAGGTTTACGATAAACTGGTCTATACTCATTACAATGCTAGCACTCTCAGGTACAGGGTGTAACAACAAAAACATCATATACAAAAATGACTTAAAGTTAGTCCTTGATCTAAATTTGTTGATCAACTTATTATCTTTCCAAGGAAATGAAATTGAGTCTTTGACTCAAACTCAAATTTTCTAATCCCTATATCTTTGCAACATGATGGTTTACACCTTTGATATTTCAAACTTAGATTATTTGATCCGACAGAACTCATAGTTTGAAATATCAAAGAGTTGCAAAATTATAGGGATAAGAAAATCAGAGTTTTTGACAAAGACTCAATTCCTTAGAATCCCTGGACGATTTCAATCGATCAAATTCGTTCAATGTTAAAAACAAAGAGAATAGAATATATATTAGAGGGGAATTTAAAGAATCTCTCGGTATGATTTTTTTCAGTTTTTTAAGCCTGAAAGGGAGTTCAAAGTGTAAAAATCATGTAAATGTTCACAAATTATATGCAGTAGAGTACATTAATACTGTATGTTCCATAGACTATCCATTTCAATTTCGAATTTTTTAAACTATTAAATAAACTTTATAATTAATTAGGTGATTAAAAAAAAACATCTTTTGAGTTATAGTTATAACGGAAAATCATCGTTTGTAAAGAGGAAGGCATAGAGTCTATGTGAAATGATCATTGGTCAATTATGAAACCAGCCTATTTCATAATTTGGTTTTCTTTTAACAATAATTTTAGATTTTCTATATAATGATATTCCAGGGCCCAACAGGTTATATAGCATAAATATGTGAAGTACACCTGCAGTATGGAAACAGTACCACAAAATGGCCGTTTTACACTTTTTTTCTATTAAATTCCCCTCTAATATTTATTCTATTCTATTTGCTTAAAAAGTCTGTATGTAAGTCTTAACTTTTTGACTCATTTTCACCCGTAAACAGAAGATTTTTCGTAGTAGCTGTTTTATACTCTATTGTTGGACGATATATTTTCAATAAAATTAAAATTATAAACAAAACTTTTCCAACACTTTAGATGGATTTCTAATAAGAGATAAAAATTTAACTAAATTTGACTCTTCAAAATCTTAAAAAGATTAATTAAAAAGTTCAAATCTGATTGCAACAGTGATCTTGAAACCTTTACCTCTGCTGTATAAACCCAAAATTAAAAATTGAATAATTATATAGACAAACAAATTTAGACAGTGATAGATAAAAAGCTGCTGATTATATCAATGCAATAAAAAAACACATTTTCCTTGATACAAATTATATTTATTTATTACTTATGCATCTTATTTTCAGGTCTCTACCAAAAGTTTATATTACCAAGATGACCTAACTAAGTGAAGAAAAAATTAAGTTCAAAAAAATACTTCCCATCCACCATCCTTAAATCTCCTACGAATATTATCAAAAATATAATTTAACAATAGAAAAATAATTTAGATACAGAAAAACTTTTAGTCTAAAGTTATTTACGTTTTTATATTCCAATCTTGGTTATTGTAAAATTGTTGTAGCTTTGTTAAAAAAAGGAATACAAGTTTTTTACTTATGTAGCATGAACATCTATAGTACATTGTACATGTATTTTTGTAATTAGATCAATATACTGTACAATCTCTGCCAATAGTTTGTAATTAAAAGAGAATGCAGGCAAACTGTAATCTATGTACTGTACATAAAGGTCGGTGCATACACTGTAAAGTGTTGTAGTGCAGCATACACTAAACAACAAATCTTGTGATTTTTAATCTTTGTCTTCAGTGATTACGAGCTAAATTAGAATATTTCCCGCACATGAATCAAAAGATAAAAAAGGACACTGAAAAAGCAAGACAAAAGCAATGTAAAAAGATTACAATTGATCATGATGTAACTCACTTTGAGACTTTGAGACCAGTCGATATTCATGAGATGATGAGTTTTGTTTCATGCATTATATATGATGTAAACATCAACTATGTAATAAGCAAAATAAAGTAAATAAATATTACTGAAAAATATCCGCTATTTTATTTTTGTAACAGAATTTTTAGAAAATTTATTTTTTAGATACTAAATACAAAATTTCCTTACTATAGCAATACGCGCCTAAAGGTGTTGTTTACTTGATATTCTATAAAAAATAAATATTTAAGTTTTCGTAATTTTAATAATTTACCTACAGAGTGTCACACAAAACATGACAGTAGCAAGACAAATTGAAAGTCGTCTTTGATCTTTGAATTTATTCGTGACATTCAGTCGTCAACTTGTAAAAAATGTCCGCCTTCAAAACAGTTTCTTGAGCAAGTATTTATCCAGGTAAAACTCAGGTTCTCTTGAACAAGTATTTATCCAGGTAAAACTCAGGTTCTCTTGATTATTAATGTTAATACACGGCTATTACTCATTAAACTATCGTTGCCACTGGGCACGATCTCGTTAGCTATCGATGTCAACTCAGACACTAACAATTAATCGATCAATGTCTCACCAGGACACCATCTCGCAACTATCAATGTCTAAACTAGGACACAATATATACGACTACTTTGGTGTAAACTAGCAATGCCACTACTACTAGGGGGCGATCTTGAGCTATCAATGCCTCAAATAGGACACGATCTTGCAACTATCAATGTCTCAACCAGGACACAATATACACAACTACTTTGGTGTGAACTATCAATGCCACTTCCACTGGGCGCGATCTTAAGATATCAATGCCTCAACTAGGACACCATCTCGCTACTATCAATGTCTCACCTAGGACACAATATACACGACTAGTTGGTGTGAACTATCAACGTCACTACCCCTGGGCGCGATCTTGAGCTATCAATGCCTCAACTAGGACACGATCTTGCAACTATCAATGTCTAAACTAGGACACGATATACACAACTGCTTTGGTGTGAACTATCAATGCCACTACCACTGGGTGAGATCTTGAGATATCAATGCCTCAACTAGGACACGATCTCGCAACTATCAATTTCTAAACTAGGACACAATATACACGACTACTTTGGTGTAAACTATCAATGCCACTACTACTGGGCACGATCTTGAGCTATCAATGCCTCAACTATAGGACACGATCTTGCAACTATCAATGTCTAAACTAGGACACGATATACACAACTGCTTTGGTGTGAACTATCAATGCCACTACCACTGGTGGTCGCGATCTTGAGATATCAATGCCTCAATTAGGACACAATCTTGCAACTATCAATGTCTTAACTAGGACATGATCCTCAACCTGTTTATCAAAACAGGGAACGATTACTCTCTCGCTGTAATCAAGTTGGAGTCTCTATATCAACTAGTGTATTTGAGGTTTGTATGTTACAAGTTAAATTAATAGACCTAATTACAATTTCTACATCGTTATCTATATCACATGATTAAGGCAATCATATTACGTATTATAGCACAGTTGAAATAGGTGTAGTTAAGCTGTACGGCATTATGTAATGTATATCACAGAATTAAGCTTATCCTGATACATAATTATTTGAAACACAGTTCAAATGAATACGTTTTACGTAGAAGTTTACAATCGTAGATATTTAATAATGTACAACGTACTGCAGGTTTACAGAATATCATGTTACCCGATATTTATTACAAACCTTTTTGTTCTGTCAATTTTACTGGAGATATTAAGAATTTTGTTCAGATTTAAGCTTTAGTAAATAAAAACAAAATTGTCAAAATCTGAACGAAATTATTCATATCTCTATCAATATTGAAAGCACAAAAAATTCAGATCACATTTGTAAATGCCGCAAATAATTTCAAATATCAAATACGACCTTCAAGACGTCTTGCTACTGTCATTCTTCGCGGGACACTCTAAATAGTGAATTTAACCTGGAAAATATGCGAAATATTAATTTTTTCATGACTATGGAGTAAATAGTGACATAGCACAATACTTATAAGAAAGATTTGAAGCGCCCTGGATGCTTAGTTTTATTTGAATTCCATTGTTCACCCTATATATAGAGTATAAGAGAAAGCTTGTTTAAGTTGAGGAAAATTGAAATGGATTTATCCCCCTGTTCTCAATACACAAAAAGAAAGTCCCCCCCTTGCCCCCTCCTCATTCTTTTTCGAACATACTGAAAAAAATTATGTCTAATTTATTTATGTTTTGATGTTTGAATTTTTTTAATGTATACCGCAGACCCAGTTTAGTACTTGTTTTGAGTTGTAAAGAGTACGTAGAAGAAAGTCACCTGAAAACAAACTAACCGGCGCTCTATATTCAGTAATTGTAGTTCCTCGGTCTAACAATTGTTCCTCGTCGTAATTAAAGGGATTGTACACGAAAATTCAAGTGACCTTACAATAATAGAGAATTGCATTTCCGATTTTTAACTGTGTCTTTAGATGACTGTAATATTTTTATTTTTCTCTCTGAAAAATTATTATTTTCAAATGTGGTTTTTGTGCAAAAGTTAAGGTCCCTTTCAGTAAATCAAGCGAGCCTCCATTTCGGAAATTTTAAATATAGATTGAAAACAATGACAACAAAAAGTTATTTTTTCAAAAACATCAAAATTAATACTTTCACCTACCCTTTGGAATTTAAAATAAACCCAGAGACTCTTTTTTAATCATTAATGTTTTTCTTTTCATTTTTTAAGTGAATCTTTTTAGTAAATAATATAATAACTTTACCATGTCTGCCTTTCCTATGTGAGTTAGTATTGTTGATAAAAAATTATTAAAATATTCAAAGTTATAAATTTTTTAAAGAATTAAACATAAGTTATTCAAAAAATGGCTTTCCTATCAGAGGAGATGAAGGCTCAGCTTATGAAGGTATAATAGGTTTAGCATTCTTAAAATATATTTAAGCTATAAAGGTTATGAAGGTATAACAGATGTACTTCTTAAAATAGATGAGAACTCAGCCTATGAAGATATATCAGAAGCAATATTTTTAAAATAGATGAGAACTGAGTTATGAAGGTATAATAGATTTAGCATTCTTAAAATATATTAATGCTAAGCCTATGAAGGTATAACAGATTTAGCATTCTTAGAATAGGTTAGAACTAAGGTTATAAAGGTATACCAGTTGCACTATTCTTAAAATAGATGAGTACTGGAATTATGTAGGTATGTACTATTCTTAAAATAGATGAGAACCCAGCTTATGAGGGTATAACAGATTCAGCATTCTTCTTATATGTGGTTGGTGTCAGCAAGGATGAGTTCAATGTCGTCTTTACTTCTAGGTGATTGTGTCAGCAAGAATGAGTTCAATGGCGTCATTACTTCTAGGTAGTTGTGTCAGCAAGAATGAGTTAAATGTCGTCTTTACTTCTAGGTGGTTGGTGTCAGCAAGGATGAGTTCAATGTCGTCTTTACTTCTAGATTGTTGGTGTCAGCAAGGATGAGTTCAATGTCGTCTTTACTTCTAGGTGGTTGGTGTCAGCAAGGATGAGTTCAATGTCGTCTTTACTTCTAGGTGGTTGGTGTCAGCAAGGATGAGTTCAATTTCGTCTTTACTTCTAGGTGGTTGGTGTCAGCAAGGATGAGTTCAATGTTCTCCTTGAGAAACACTCCCCAGAGATATCAAAGTGTGAAGAAAATCTTGGTAATATTTCCAACAATGTACTTGATGATTTTTTTTTGTAACAATGAAAACCAATGTAATTTGGTCTTGAAAACTTGTGTTATACAGAGTAACCCACAAGCGATGAGACTTCACTGAAGACCTGAAAATGAAATATATTATTCTTCAGGTTGAATTTGGACTTTTACCTTTAATTGATCTAATAAATGAAAGACACCAACAAGGAAGACTGCCATTGAGACAATTAAGTAAAAAAAGCATAATTGTCGAAGTTTAGATTTATCCAACAAATGCTTTCATGCAAGATTTTGCTATTTACCCAGTAACTAATAACACTTTTTTATTTTAGTAAGATCGTCTCCCTTTGATATTCAACAAATCTTGTTCAAGAATATCATCGAAACTGAAGGTCAGAGGGAATACACATATACAGATGAAAAGTGAATGAATAAATAAATAAATGAATAAATATAATATAAATAGATGAATAAAAGAATAAATGAGTAAATATAATATAGATAGATGAATAATGCTAATTTAATGAATAAATGAAAAAACTAATAAATGAATAAATGAGTTAATGAATAAAGTAAATAAACAAATATAAATAAATGACATAATGAAAAAATGAATAAATGAATAAACGAACAAATGAATAAATAAATAAATGAATAAACGAATAAATTAATATATGAATAAATGAATAATTAAATGAATATATGAATAAATGAATAAATGAATAAATGAATAAATGAATATATGAATAAATGAATAAACGAATAAATGAATAAATGAATATATGAATAAATGAATAAATGAATAAATGAATAAATAAATAAATGAATAAGTAAATAAATGAATAAATGAAAAACCGAATAAAATTAATAATTATAAAATTAAATGAATGAATAAATGATAAAATGAATGAATAGGATTGAATGAGTTAAATGAGCTAAAAACTATTGAAGATAAGGTTGAATGGATCTACTCCCGTCTTATGATGGATCAAGGATTGGAAACTATTTTTATTAATTTTTACCTTATCCAGTTGAAATAGAAATAATTTCTATTAAATAGTTTTTTTATTGAAAGTTGAGCTGCTCTAAATCATGTTTAGAGTCAAATGTTCCGGTTTACCCTGAAACAAATAAACTGTGTTCATGATTTCTTCTTCAGCTTTGCGAGAAAAAAAATATATCAAAATTAATAGAATTTGAATAAAAACATCTTCTAATTGTAAAATGCCAAAATTTTAACTTAATTTCGGATGTTTCTTAACAGATTTTCGGAATATCCGAAACCTACTACCTGAACGGAAGGAGTTTAAGGACTCCATAAAGAGTAAGGAGTTGAAGGAAAAGGGGAATCATGAATTCCAAAGGAAAAATTATCAAGAGGCAATTAGGTAAAATTTCTCTCTGGAAGGAGATACTTTTAAACCTTCGGAATAATGAAGTCGATTATAGCAAGCTAGGCTTTTAGGGCCCATCCTCTTTTAAACATTTAATTGTGGCTCTGTCTGTTCGCAAATTTAATGATTTTTTTCTCGCATTTTCAATATTTTACTAAATCAAAAACTTTTAGATATAATTTTTTTCTAATTATGATCATTGATCATACATAAATCTTCCACGGGGTCATGTGAGGTCCCACACAAAATTTTGCCCGATCGGTTCAACCGTTTTGACAGACAAGCAAAGTATATATATATATATATATGTATGTAAAACCACGAGTATTCTAAATTTTAAGTCCTCTATAAAATCTAACTCTATATAATTACTGCAGTACATTAATTAAACTTATATGTATAAAATATTTACTATTCTTGTCGAAGTAGATATGTTTGAAATGAGGTTAGAACCTTTGTATGGAATGTCGTTAATCTCCATATATGTCGTTAATCTCCATATATGTCGTTAATCTCCATATATGTTCAATCTAGGAACTTTCCTTGAGGATAAATATATAAGATGAAGTTCAATATTGCTAAATCCCGAGATTCAGTTCGGACCGATTGTTAAACTTAATTGTATTAATTCTTTTATTTTTACTTTTGTAAGATATTTGTGAAAAAAAAAAAAATTTCTTTAAATATAATTTTTAGGTTTTACAACCAATCATTCATCAGTGCTAGTTCTGACAAAGAGATAGCTTTAAGCTTAGGTAAACTTTTAAAAAACACATTATTTCTAAAATAAAAAAACATGTATTGTTTATTTAGCAAATAGATCAGTTGTTTTCTTCAATTTGAAGGAATATTCCAATTGTATTCAAGATTGTAAGGTGGGTTTATATTTATTCATCACCTTCATCACATTCAATCATTTATTAATTTATTAATGAATTCATTTCTTTTCATCTATATAAATTCATCACATTGGATAATTCATTCATTTATTGATATAATTCATTTAGATATCATTCATGTATTAATTCAACCTTATTCATTTAATTTTATAAATTCATTAATTCATTATTGATTCATCCATTCAGTTTTAAACTATTCATTCTTAATTTATTTTTCTATCCTCATCAAATTCAAATTTTATTTTGAACTTCAGTGATTCTGACATAAATGTAAATTAATCTATCAACTTAATAATTCATTTATTATTCAATTTAATCACTAAATAATTCATCTTTTGTTATTTAATTCATATATTTATTCATAAAACTTTATTTTTATTTTATTTATTTTCTTTATCTATTGTCTTTTTCTCTTTTGTTTAAATTTTTCCAGTACAGTAAGTAAAAATTACACAGTATAAAATTAAGAAAAAAGTTTTTATTACTGCTCTGAAGGCAGCCCTACTGTTTGGATACCCCCAAGAACTGGTTTATAAAGTACATGAGAGGACTGCACGTTGCTGTGTACAGATAGGGTAAGTAGTGTACAATGTACAAAGAGGTTACCCACAAATGATAGGATTTCAGTGACGACTGCGCGTTACATTTATAATTCTCAACAATTTTACCATAGTTCTTTTGCATTGCTTAATCAATTAGAATATAATTTAAGACAAAAACCCAAATTCAATCTTGAGATAAGACTCATCCTGTGTGGGAATCATTATAATTTTTATATTATTTTTAATTGAATTCAAATACAATTAATCTCTTTCTTAATTTATTTGATACATTGTGACTAGTTTACATAAATCAATTCAATTAATTTAAAAACTTAAAATTTAATTTTAAAACTTGGTCAAAATATTGCTAATTCTCATGTTGAGGTTTATCTAACGTTTCCAGATAAATTTTTTACTATCAAAATATTCTTGTATTAATTTAATTTAAAACCCCATTTATCCATTAGATATATTTTAGGCAGACGAAGGAAGCTAAAGAAAACATTCTGCAAGCCAAACTAACCCTGAATAAAGCAAAGTAAATAATACATTTTTATATTATTCCATGTATACTCCTGCCGTCTACCCGCACTTGCTATTAAATGATGATTTTAGCAGAAGTGTCCTGCGCTACTCGATTGGAATATCAAAAATTTGAAATTATTTAACACATGTCACCCCTGCAGTATCCATGGGTTCCATATAAAATAAGCCAATTTGTTCCAGCTGTTAGGCCAGCTTAGCTAACATAAATATATACACATATATATATATATATATATATATATATAAGTGAAGATCTTTAATGTACTACAGTATCAAGAGCAAGTGTCTGATGAGTCCACTTAAGAAAATAAATAATTTAATAAGACTTGTCATATGGCAGTGTTATATGATCAAATAGTTTACATAGTTAAAAGAGGTATCAATATTTTTTCAAAAAAGGGGTTTTTAAGGTTGGGGCACAATGTTGCCAAGGGGGGGGGGGGCACAATTTTTTTTTGTGCAAATTAAGTGCCCCCCCCCCCCTCCTCCTACACTAATGCTCTCGTACACCCCTGAACGTCAACTCTAACTATTTGAAAGCCCCAAGTTTTCCAGGAAAAAAACGGATTTGTGGTGAAATCATAATCCAAACCCCATTTTAAAATTCATCAACAGTCCCTTTAAAGTAAGTTTACTTCCAGGTTGAGTGAAGAGAGGAGGGAAACAGTTGAAGCTGATCTTGAAACTTTACTCAAGGGTTTACCAGCAGAGGCTGCAGACCATACACTCACAAATGGTAAACAACATTAATTGTATATTTTAGAATTAGAAACAAACATTATTTTTCCATGATTGGTTTTCAAATATACAAATAGACATTGATCGAATCTCCGGTTTGCAGTCAGTTGGGCACTGAACGAGACTTTTTTGTTAGAACTTTGAATAAACATGTTACACAGACCAATTTCACTTAGCAAGTTGGTTTAAAATTAGCTAAAATTTGTTGCTTTATAATATCATCAATTATCCAAAAAATTAGATATCTTCATAATTCTCACTTTATTCCAAAGTTCGATGGTTCTCATTGTACCTAAACCAGGGAATTATAATTTTTAACTAGTTCTGGTTTTTAACGTTTAACAAAGAAAACAGTTAAGTGAATTTCTGTTACAAGGAGCTGTAAAGGTGGAGATTAAAGATGATTCTCATTTAAAACTTTTATCCAGAAATAAAAAGGTAAAAAAGCATTTTTATTTTCTACAAAAAATCCTGGTTTACCAATTTTTAATTGGGCAATCAGACATCGCATTCCTTGTTGTACTTCACATAGATCCAGGCTGCAGTAAAAAGTTGCATTAACAACACAACAGATGAGCCAAATATTTGCATTAACAACACAACAGATGAGCCAAATATTTGCATTAACAACACAACAGATGAGCCAAATAATTGCATTAACAACACAACAGATGAGCCAAATATTTGCATTAACAACACAACAGATGAGCCAAATATTTCAATAAAACACATTTCTTCATTATTTTAGTTTCCAAATCTCAGCCGATCTGTCGATATAAAATTCAACCCTGAGGCAGGAAGGCATGCAGTAGCTAACTCAAAAATTCAACCAGGTAAGGAGACACATGCCTAATTCCACCGTTATTTATTCATAACTAACTGTTTGTAAAGGAATTTAGTTTTTGCAACAATCTTATATTTTCAACCCATATATCTTTGCAACCTGATGGTGTAAACCTTGGAAATATCAAACTTAGACTATTTGATCTACCAGAATTAATAGTTTGAAATATCAAAGGTCTAGGAAAACGGGTGGCTAAGTTAGAGGAATTAGAACATCTGAGTTTGCGACAAAAACTCAATTCCTTTCTGATCTGCCCCCTACCCACGTCATAATCAACCTTGTGAAAAACTGGCCAGTGGTCATTTAAAGAGATCAGTTGTAGTGAAGGCTAGGCGGGCCTAGATTTAACCTGTAGAGAACTGTCAATTAGAATATCTATGAGTAGATTAAAGATGGTAGTTGAGTTTCCTGTTAGCTCCAGGAGTAGCTGTGTAGCTAATTAGCTCCAGGAGTAGCTGTGTAGCTGATTAGCTTTTTGGGTAGCTGAGGTTAAGCTTATTAGATCAAGCCTAGGAGTAGCTGAGATTTAGCTTAATAGCTTCAGGAGTAGCTGAGGTTTAGCTTATTAGCTCCAGTAGTAGCTGAAGTTTAGCTTACTAGCTCAAGGAGTAGCTGAGATTTAGCTTATAACCTTCGGGAGTAGCTGAGATTTAGCTTATTAGCTCCAGGAGTAGGTGAAATTTAGCTTATTAGCTCCAGATGTAGCTGAGGTTTAGCTTATTAGCTCCAGGAGTAGCTGAGGTTTAGCTTATTAGCTCCGGGAGTAGTTGAGATTTAGCTTATTAGCTCCAGGAGTAGATGAGGTTTAGCATTATTGGCTCCAGGAGTAGGTGAGATTTAGCTTATAAGCGCCAGGAGTAGCTGACGTTTATCTTATTAACTCCAGGAGTAGCTGAGGTTTAGCTTATTGGCTCCAGGAGTAGCTGAGGTTTAGCTTATTAGCTCCAGGAGTAGCTGAGGTTTAGCTTATTGGCTCCAGGAATAACTGTGGAATTGTAAGATGAAGAAAGAGTAAATTCGTGGATAAAAAGTTTAAGCTTGAGATTGTCATCCTGGTCCAATTCTTGGGCTGTTTCCGACTAGGAGGCTGTGTTTTCAGCTATGGTTCGTTTATTGTCTAGGGTCACCACTTTAGAATTGCATTTAATGCATCTAGATAACATGATAAATAACGAATGTATTAAAGGAGAGGAAGATGAGCAGGTCTTCTCTGGTTCCAGGATCCGACGCTAATCATTTGCGGATTTTATAATCCTCTTTCGGGAATGTATATATATTTAAATAGGAGAGGTGATCCTAGAAGAAATTCCTTTAACCTGGACAATCAATCCAAACCAAACTCTTAGAACATGTATTCGCTGCCTGAAGCAGGTATGAATAAGAGAATATGAATATGAGAAGAATGTCTTCAAATTTAAACTCTAACAAAGCATATCATTCCAATTTTCCACTTTTAGACTTTTAGAGTTATTTTTACAATTGATGCATGTAACGTTTAGAATGAAAGACTTTCCAGATACTGAACAGTGAACATCCTCAAAAATTGCCCTAGATCCCCAGCACTACTAAATCCCCGAATCTAGACTGTTTGGGGATATAACCCTTATAGATTGGTCACGCTGAGCCATACAATTAATACAGTATGCTGAGCGCCATCTTTTTTTACAGACGGGGAAACACATGGTTCCCAGCAAGCAACGTGAAAACCTTTTTTACTGCTCTCTCGTCTGTTACAATAGAGCCACGGAATCAGCTGATCTCAATTTGGAGAAGGTTTGAGAATATTTAAGAATATTTAATCTTTATTGAGGGGCGAAGAAATGATTCCATATCTTTATAGAAAAGAACAAATGATTTTCAACGATGAATAGAAGATATTATAAACTTTTTTACTTGGTTATTTCTCTCTATTTCAGAAGATCTGAATAATTTTTCTTCGCCTTACAATTTTCTTGATGTTTATTTCCCTGTGAAGTGACATTATTCTTTTAAATTTAACAAAAATACTTCCAAAGTGGATTATTGTTTATTTATGAAAATTTTATTGTTTCTAATTGTGATTAGTGACTCATGCTACACTGTTAATTAATATGAAACTAAAGGAATTGAGTCTTTGCCACAAACTCTGAATTTATAATCCCAATATCTTTGGAACACAATGTTGTACATATTAGATATTTCAAACTTATATAATTTGATCTAACAGAATTAATAGTTAGAAATATCTAAGGTCTACGACATTGAAATCTAAATATAAAGGGATTATAAATTCAAAGTTTGTGGCAAAGACTCAATACCTTTGTTTGTTCTTTAACCCTTTTTCCCTTTGAAGCAAGTTTCAGACTTGATTTCCAGATACAAGGACTCTTAAACATTGTTCTTCTCCCTTAGATGCAGGTAATGATTTCTTCAAGGGGTCTACTGGCACTTGGCACTTGGCACTTGGCACTCATGTGATCAACACTAGTATAAAGTGGGAACCAGAAAACAGTGGAATTCTTGTCGTTTTCTGTTTTCTTCTAATTTTAAAATATCATCAAGGGTTTGTGATTTTTAACTAAACTGTCCCCTAAGCCCGTTTTTTAAAAGATTCGGCTCGAGCCTAATTCCTAAGACTCAGGTTTAAGGACAATCTTAGTCCCAACTTATGAACCAGATGACGACAGCTTGTGTCATGTGATCGACAGCTGCCAGCTCTTAGGCTCGACTTAAGGAGTTAGGCCAAATAAAAATAAAAACCGACCTTGGTTGATTTTAGTGGAGAATTGGTCTCAATGTTGAGTCTTATTCTAATCAAATACCGGAACCTCCCAATTTCAAACATGAAAATCCAGCAAATACAATAATAAAACGGTTTAACCAGCCCAGCTATGTAGAAAATTAGTTAATACTTTAATCCCAAAGCTTTAGTCTTAAATAAAGCTCAATGACAGATTAGAATTAGGAATATTTTAGAAATACTGCATAAATTGATTCTTATTCCAATGAGTATAAAAGAAGAATGATGAAAAACCATATTCGTTCCACTGTTTTCTAGGTCCCACTGTATCTACATTTTTATTTTTTAAACTTGGATCAAAGCTTTTGGTTATTTTCAAATTTTAATCAAATTCTGGAAAAAACATAACATTAAAGTTTTCTAAATGTTGAAACACTGAAATATAAAAAAGTATTGAAGGTTTTTAAAACTTTTTCTGTGTCCTTAAATCGCATAATGATAATGAATTGACATGAAGCAGTTTTCTTTGTGTAGACTATAATTCTTTAATGATAAAAATCTCATTTATGATCTTTAATAAAATTTCTTTTTTAGGCTGACGATCACAGGAAAAATATAAACTAAATAACAAAATATAAAATATTTTGAAATTTTTAATATGAAAATATTTAGAAATATTTTCAAATAGGATATCATGCATATGCAATTTAACAAAATTGTAAATCACTAGAAATAAATAGCGTCACAAGACCTTTTTTTTAATGTTGACTTTGACAGTGCAATTTTTTCCCTTTTTTGCAGCTATTTTTAAAGATTTTATATATTTTAAAGGGAGTGTTCGCAAACAATGGAAGGGGGTATAAGCTTACGGCGAAAAATAATCGCCTTTGATCGCCAATAATCGGATCATAAAAAAATCGATTAAATTTCAAACAAATCATTTAAATTTTTATTTAAACCTATATATGGTGTTCGATTATTTTTCGACGCATTGGTGTAAAGTTGAAATTTCATAATATTTTTTATTTGTTTTATATACTATTCACAGAAAACGACTTTTTTTCCGCTAGGGTTCTCTGTCACGTATAATTATTTAAAGCATCGAGAGCAGAAACATCTGGCAGCCAACTATTTCGGCGTTTTAAGTGCATTATTAACTATTATTAACTATTTACGAATGTGTCGAAAAATAATCGATGACAATAGGTTGTAATATCTGAATGATTTGTTTGAAATTAAATGGATTTTTTACGATCCGAGTCGTATATTGCAAGTTTCTGAATTTGTATGGACGCTACGTTCTTCAGTATAAGTCGTTTTTAACAATTTCCTCCTTATAGACGTAACAGATAGAAGTAAGATTAGTAGCGATCAAAAGCGACTATTTTTCGCCGTGAGCATATACCCCCTTTCATTTTTCGCGTACACTCCATTTAGCACTCAGTTTTTGTAAATTCCATTTCGCAGTTTTGTCGTTGTAATGAAATAGCAAAGATAAATCCTATTTATATTGTGGATTCTCAAAGATTGGTTGATCTCTTCTGTTCAGCCAATGAGTCTTCAGCTACAACTATGCTAGCGTTCTGGTCAGTATTAAAGGGATTGTACACGTTATTTCAAGTAAATTTCCATGTGGAGGAGGTGTGTCCGATTCACATCGGTACCCTTTAATCTTCTGTTTAACTTGAGAGCAAAAAGTTCACTTAAAAAATTGCTGCACTTCATAGAGGTCCGAAAAATATTAAATAAAAGACTGTACATTTATACGAGACACCATTTTGGAAATACTTGTTTTTTTCTCCATAGATTTTTTTTTGTAAAAATCAACAAGAAAGTTTTAATGATACCTAACTGAAATGATAAAGACATAGTGTTGTCAGTCTTGCTGTTTAGGGCGATAAGATCCCAGCCTTTGGATTTCTTCGTGACCAATGAATCAGCTCTGTTTGAGGGTATTAGTCCTGAGTTTGGGATTAATACACCGGAAGGATGGAAATTAGAAGGAAAAGAACAAATTTACAAGGTTTGATTAATGTTGTACTTGTAGTTTCCTACACCAAGGGTTTTCAGTTTTACTACAGTGAAACCCTTAATAAAGAATACATCGAAAGAATTCATCAAATGTCGTATTCTTCACTTTCTGATAATGGAATGTTGCAGATATTTAGTTTTTTAATTAAAAGATTATATGGAACTCTTTAAAACTGTTACCTCACATTCATGGCTATTTACTTATTTTTGCAAACACTGAAATTTACGTAATATAGATTAAAACTCATTGAAAACTTGTCAAGACGACATTCGATAAATTCTTCCGATGTATTCGTTATTAAGGGTTTCACTGTAACATAAAGCTGTCAAGATTAAATAGAATAATATCTCAATAGTTAACGAGTAAAATCAAAAGATCAGAAGTTGGCTTGAAAAAATGAATGAATTCTATCTAATGATCTATTATTAACTTATATTTTGGATGAATTTATTATTCAAATCTTCGATTGGAAGATAGGTTTTTACGGCTGTTATTTTTTACATTACAATTTTTTACAGTACAATAAGCCCCTAGATAAACTTTGTTTCTACTTCCTTTTTTTAAGGAATTTTTAAAAATATAATTTTAAGTCACAAAAAAAGTAAATGGCCATTTTAGATTTTTTTTTACAAAGACTGGACTTTTTACCGCCATGTATTTTACCCTATGCATGAAAAAAAAATGACTGAAAACTTCTTTAGATTATCTATTCATTAAAAGTCACAACATTTCACGGTAATAATGACAAAAATGAGAGTGCTAGGACAAAAAAAAAACTATAGGGCCGGCCAAGCCTGCCTATGGTTAAAAACTAAAATAGTTTATTGGAGAAGCCTAGTTTTTATTAAACTTCTTTGGATAAATTAGGAAAAAAAATACTCTACAGATTGACCCCGAGAAGTAAAACGTATTCAATGACCTTTTCAAATGACGAGTTCATGATGTACAAGGGGTTGTACAATTTTCAGCTTTACAATCTGCATTAGCGATCTATATTCTTGTATATCTATGAATAAGCCTAATGATCTATATTCTTGTATATCAATGAATAAGCCTAATGATCTATATTCTTGTATATCTATGAATAAGCCTAATGATCTATATTCTTGTATATCTATGAATAAGCCTAATGATCTATATTCTTGTATATCTATGAATAAGACTAATGATCTATATTCTTGTATATCTATGAATAAGCCTCATGATTGCTCTTGTTTCAGAATTTGTATAATCTTGTGTCTCACACTGATAGCTTACCAGAGGAAACCCTTCTCGATATACTTATCACATCTACAGTGCTTCTCAGGTCATTATCCTAGGGCATTATTATTTTTATTATGATAAATTAATATAAAACAACATTAATCTCCATTGTTAAAAATAGAAAAAATTTATTTAATTAATTACAAAATTACTATTGTCTTACATGATTAAACCTCTATTTTTATGTATCATAGTTTTTCTAACATTTTTTCGCTCAAAGCAACAAAAAACTCTTTTGTTTTAGTGATAATGATTATAATAATAAAAATAACAATAATGAAAATAATCATAATAATAATAACATCAATGAAAATAGTGATGAATTAATTATAACAATAGTAAAAATGAT